CCACACTCTGAATTTTCTGCATAATATTTACACCACACATTGCCCTTAGACAGGACATCTCCACTGCCTCCAATCGCCTCCTCGCTACAGCATTTACAGCCCAAGCTTCACACCCATATAAGAGTGTTGGTAATACTATACTTTCATACATTTCCTTCTTTGCCTCCATAGATAACATTTTTTGTCTCCACATATACCTCACCGCATCACTCGCCTTTTTTCCTTCATCAATTCTATGATTAACCTCATCCTTCATAAATCCATCCGCTGACACGTCAACTCCCAAATTTCTGAAAACATTCACTTCTTCCATACACCTCCTCCCCAATTTGATATCTAATTTTTCTTTATCTAAATCATTTGATACCCTCATCACCTTACTCTTTTCTATGTTCACTTTCAACTTTCTACCTTTACACACACTCCCAAACTCGTCCACTAACCTTTGCAATTTTTCTTTAGAATCTCCCATAAGCACAGTATCATCAGCAAAAAAGTAACTGTGTCAATTCCCATTTTGTATTTGATTCCCCATAATTTAATCCTACCCCTCTCCCCAACACCCTAGCATTTACTTCTTTTACAACCCCATCTATAAATACATTAAACAACCATGGTGACATTACACATCCTTGTCTAAGACCTACTTTTACCAGGAAGTAGTCTCCCTCTCTTCTACACATGCTAACCTGAGTCTCACTTTTTTTTTTTTTTAACAAGTCAGCCGTCTCCCACCGAGGCAGGGTGACCCAAAAAGGAAGTACTTTCATCATCATTCAATTCTTTCACCTCACTCACACTTAATCACTGTTTTTGCAGAGGTGCTCACAAAAAACAGTGATTATGTGTTAGTGAGGTGAAAGAATTGTATGATGATGAAAGTATTTTCTTTTTGGGGATTTTCTTTTTGGGTCACCCTGCCTCGGTGGGAGACAGCCGACTTGTTAAAAAAAAAGCTCTTTACAGCATTTAGTAACTTACCACCTATTCCATATACTTGCAACATCTACCACATTGCTCCCCTATCCACTCTATCATATGCCTTTTCTAAATCCATAAATGCAATAAAAACTTCCCTATCTTTAAATACTGTTCAATGCTGTTCAGTATCTAAATACTGTTAAATACGCCTTGGAAAAGTGAAGAATCCTTCCTCTGTAATCCATTTATGTTGTAAGAGGTGACTAAAATGTTGGGAGAAAGGGGATAATAACCCCTTCCGTATAAATTACTAAATGTAAAAAGAAGAAAAGGAACATTTCTTCTTTTTCAGGTCACCCTGCCTTGGTGAGAGACCACTGGTGTGTTAAAATAAAAAATCAATTAGTTAAGAAATGTAGAATTTGTAGTCTCAGAACAAATCCCTATCTTTTGCATGTTGCAAGGGGAATTGCTCTCTGTGCCATTTCCCAGGAATGCATCTGACACATACAGAGATGAAGATCTGTACATGTATATGTATATTTATTTTTGTGTGTTTTTAATGCAAGTGATAGGTCATACTAAACTGTGATCATCAAACAACACACTTAATTTTTAGCTCTTTCTCACTCTTGTAGGAGTGAGGAAGAACCAGTTGTGAGTGTGGGGGGAAGTTCGTGAGGCAGTGGGTAGAACGAAAGGGGGTAAGGCAGCAAGGATTGACGGGATAAAGATAGAAGTGTTAAAAGCAGGTGGGGATATAGTTTTAGAGTGGTTGGTGCTTTTATTTAATGTATAGAAGAGGGTAAGGTACCTAGGGATTGGCATAGAGCATGCATAATTCCTTTGCAAAAATTCCTTGCAAAAATTATAGGGAAATAAGACTGTTGAGTATACCTGGTCAAGTGTATGGTAGAGTTATTATTGAAAGAATTAAGAGTAAGACGGAGAGTAGGATAGCAGATGAACAAGGAGGCTTTAGGAAAGGTAAGGGGTGTGTAGCACAAGTGTTTACAGTGAAACATGTAGGTGAACAGTGATTAGATAAGGGTAAAGAGGTTTTTGTGGAATTTATGGATATGGAAAAGGCATTTGACAGGGTGGATAGGGGGCAATGTGGGAGAAGTTGCAAATGAAAGCAGTGAAGAGTTTTTATGAGGATAGTGAGGCTCAGGTTAGAGTATGTAGGAGAGAGGGAGATTATTTTGCAGTAAAAGTAGGCCTTAGACAAAGATGTGTGATGTCACCATGGTGGTTCAATATATTTATAGATGGGGTTGTAAGAGAAGTGAATACTTGGGTGTTGGCAAGAGGTGTGGGGTTAAAAGATAAAGAATCTAACACAAAGTGGGAGTTGTCACAGTTGCTCTTTGCTTTTGGGAGATTCTGAAGAGAAGTTACATTGGTTGGTGGATGAGTTTGGCAGGGTATGTAAAAGAAGAAAATTAAAAGTGAATATAGGAAAGAGTAAAGTGATGAGGATAACAAAAAAAATAGGTGATGAAAGATTGGATATCAGATTGAAGGGAGAAAGTATGGAAGAGGTGAATGTATTCAGATATTGAGGAGTGGATGTGTCAGCAGATGGGTCTATGAAAGATGAGGTGAATCATAGAATTGATGAGGGGAAAAAGGTGAGTGGTGCACTCAGGAGTCTGTGGAGACAAAGAACTTTGTCCATGGAAGCAAAGAGGGGAATGTATGAGAGTGTATAGTTATACCAACATTCTTATATGGGTGTGAAACATTGGTGGTGAATGTTGCAACATGGAGAAGGCAAGAGGTAATGGAGATATCATGTCTAAGGGCAATGTGTGGTGTGAAGATAATGCAGAGAATTCGTAGTTTGGAAATTAGGAGGAGGTGTGGGATTACCAAAACTATTTTCCAGAGGGCTGAGGAGGGGTTGTTGAGGTGGTTCGGACATGTAGAGAGGATGGAAGGAAATAAAATGACTTTGAGTGTAAATCTGTAGTGGAGGGAAGGCAGGGTATGGGTCAGCCTAGGAATGGTTGGAGGGAAGGGGTTAAAGGAGGTTTTGTGTGTGAGGGCTTGGACTTCCAGCGAGCATGTGTGAGCATATTACATAGGAGCGAATGGAGACAGATGGTTTTTAGGACTTGATGTGCTGTTGGAGTGTGAGCAGGGTAACATGAAGGGATTCAGGGAAACTGGCAGGCTTGACTTGAGTCCTGGAGATGGTAAGTGCAGTGTCTGCACTCTGCAGGAGGGGTGTTAATGTTGCAGGTTTATAACTGTAGTGTAAGCGCACCTCTGGCAAGACAGTGACGGAGTAAAAAGATGAAAATTTTTCATTTTTCGGGCCACCCTACCTTGGTGGGAGACGGCCGATGTGTTAATAATGAAAAAAAATAATTTCGAGTATTGTTTTGAAAATCTTTCAGTACCTGAAATAGGCCAAATTGTTTTAAGAAAGCTTTAAACAAATTTTAAAACAGATTATAAATTCTTTTATTTATTTGCTTTCTTATTAAGATGATATAGTTCTTAACATAGTAATATTTAAATATAATGAAAAAGTTCTTATGAATTTTCCAGGCATGTAGAGATCTAGTTGATGAAGCAAAGAACTATCTGCTACTGCCTCAAGAGCGCCCCCTCATGCAAGGTCCTCGTACGAGACCAAGAAAACCCATCAAGACTGGGGAGGTGCTTTTTGCAGGTTAGTTTGAATCTTATTGATTTGTTTGATAATTTTAACATTTGGTAATATATCCACTGACTTATTAGTGTTAAAGAGTATTGAAAAGAATTTTTTTTTTGAAGAATGGTTTTTTTTTGTAAATCTGTATTAAATGGTTTTTTTTTGTAAATCTGTATTAAGATAAATTTCCCTGTGTGATGATACAGTATAGGCATCTTTGTTTACTGCAGACTACTGGAGACATTTAAAAACAAAGAAAGTACATATATAGCAAGTACTGTATTTTGAGTGTGCTGCTCTAGTCCAGCAAGAGAACAAGCATCTAATCTGTCCTTCATGAACCACTCAACATGTAGACAGCAAAGAAAGAGCTTGAAAGAAAGGTGGGAAGAACACCCAATTTTTAAATCCACTTAGGGACACCATATGCTGTCCTATATTTGATCCAGCCAAGACTAATACTGTACATTGAAAAACCTTGTCCTCAATCCTACCCTAGAAAATGTGAAGATGGTTTGTTGCTTGAATTTTCCAGCAGGAGCCTATTTTCATCTTGGCTCACATTATTTTAGGATAAAATCTGGATGCATGTATTATTAAAGTATGGAATGAGATAATTCCCTGATTGTAATTATTATTACACGAGTCTCCTGAAATTGTTTTTCAGTCAGTTTACCTAAATTTTTTGTACAAATAACTTTTTTAAGGTTTTAATGACTGAAACTACTACTGTACAACTCATTGGGTTCTCCTTTTTTTTCATATATGCTTTGTATATTCTACCTTAATGCAAGAAATAATAGAGAATTATTTTGTGTACTTGTGTAATTAGGACAGGGATAACCTACCTGCCTCCTCTGTTTCATTTATCATAACTTGGTAATATTTTGGCTATAAAAAAAATTGATGGTGGGTAAAGTCAGATTATTTTCACATGTCTAATAATTTACCCATTGTAAACCTGACTTTTTTCATATTGATATTGATATTGATATTGAGCCCAAATATATAAGGATTTGATATATGAAATATCTTTATTTTTGGTTTTAATAATATCTTGTTTTCAGTTGGTGGTTGGTGTAGTGGTGATGCCATAGCTTCTGTTGAGAGGTTTGAGCCTACAACATGTGAGTGGCGAATGGTGGCTCCAATGAGCAAGCGACGTTGTGGAGTTGGAGTTGCAGTGTTGTCTGATTTACTGTATGCTGTTGGAGGACATGATGGACAGTCTTACCTCAATAGTGTGGAAAGGTGAGTTTACAAATTTTTATTTAAAAATTAGTTTCAGACAAAATTTATATATGTGGATTTAGTACCAGTTTGCCAAGGCAGTCATTCCACATGCAAGAGCTGTGAAAATACTGCATTCACAGCTTCAGACTATATTACTTGACATTGCCAACATGAAATGGCTAATTATAATATATGGTATATCTGAGTGACAGAGTAGGGGAGTTAGTAGATGGGGAGATGGAGGTTATGGTAGATGGCAAGGATATTTTGAGAAACTTTTAAATATCGACGAAGAAAGGGAGGCGGTAATTTCATGTACTGGCAGAGAGGTATACCATCTTTTAGGAGTGAAGAAGAGCAGGATGTGCGTGTGGGGGAGGTGCATGAGGCATTACGTAGAATGAAAGGGGGTAAAGCAGCTGGAACTAACGGGATCATGACAGAAATGTTAAAAGCAGGGAGGGACATAGTGTGGGAGTGGTTGGTATTTTTGTTGGTATTTTGTTCGGGAGAGGGGCGGGATTAAATTATAGGGAATTAAATACAAAATGGGAAGTGACACAGTTACTTTTTGCTGATGATACTGTGTTTATGGGAGATTCTAAAGAAAATTTGCAAAGGTTAGTGGATGAATTTGGGAATGTGTATAAAGGTAGAAAGTTGAAAGTGAATATAGAAAAGAGTAAGGTGATGAGAGTATCAAATGATTTAGATAAAGAAAAATTTGATATCAAATTGGGGAGGAGGAGTATGGAAGAAGTGAATGTTTTCAGATATTTGGGAGTTGACGTGTCAGCGGATGGATTTATGAAGGATGAGGTTAATCATAGAATTGATGAAGGAAAAAAGGCAAGTGGTGCGTTGAAGTACTTATATGTGGAGACAAAAAACGTTATCTATGGAGGCAAAGAAGGGAATGTATGAAAGTATAGTAGTACCAACACTCTTATATGGGTGTGAAGCTTGGGTTGTAAATGCAGCAGCGAGGAGGCGGTTGGAGGCAGTGGAGATGCCCTGTCTAAGGGCAATGTGTGATGTAAATATTATGCAGAAAATTCGGAGTGTGGAAATTAGGAGAAGGTGCGGAGTTAATAAAAGTATTAGTCAGAGGGCTGAAGAGGGTTTGTTGAGGTGGCTTGGTCATTTAGAGAGAATGGATCAAAGTAGAATGACATGGAGAGCGTATAGGGGTAGGGGTCGTCCTCAAAAAAGTTGGAAGGAAAGGGTAAGGGAGGTTATGTGTGCGAGGGGTGAGCAGGCGTGCATGAGTGCATTCGATAGGAGTGAATGGAAATGAATGGTATTTGGGACCTGACGAGCTGTTGGAGTGTGAACAGGGTAATATTTAGTGAAGGGATTCAGAGAAACCGGTTATTTTTATATAGCCGGACTTGAGTCCTGGAAATGGGAAGTACATGTACAGTGCCTGCACTCTAAAGGAGGGGTTTGGGATATTGGCAGTTTGGAGGGATATGTTGTGGATCTTTATATGTATGTGCTTCTAAACTATGGTATTCTGGGCACCTCTGCAAAAACAGTGATTATGTGTGAGTGAGGTGAAAGTGTTGAATGATGATGAAAGTACGTATTTTCTTTCTTTTTGGGTCACCCTGCCTCGGTGGGAGATGGCCGACTTGTTAAAAAAAAAAATATATATGTTCTGATAATGGCAGTTTATAGTAGTTCTTGTCATTTCATAACCAATCTTTGTTATGACACTAGTATTAGGTACTGAAATTGTACTTAAATTGTCACAAACATGCTGACAGGTGGACATTTTCACCTGCCTTGGCCATTTACTTTTGTCTTGGAATACAGTAGACCGTCATTTAGCACAAGTTTATTTGGCACGATTTGGGTATAGTACGATTGAAGAATTGCAGCACAATTTTATGTAACACAACCTATGATGAATTTAACATGGTTCAGTTTGTGGGAAGGTAAAAAAGACTTCCCTTTCCTCAAGCGGCTGCCTTGTTGTGGTCAGCTGGGGAGACCTCCCACCGCCCCCATCCACCCCCTGACATCACCCCACCATCACTTGACTGACTTATTGAATGACTTGACTGACTTACTGAATCACTTGTCTGACTTACTGAATGACTTGACTGACTTGAATGACTTGAGACTTACTGAATGACTTGAGGCTTACTGAATGACTTGAGACTCACTGAATCACTTGACTGACTTACTGAATCACTTGACTGACTTACTGAATCACTTGACTGACTTACTGAATCACTTGATTGAATGACTTAAAGTTAGACACTCCAGTACAACCATCAACTTCAATACAGAACCTCTACCATCCACCTCAGCCCAGTAAGGCCACAACATAACTCTCCACTCTCTTCACAATCATCCACAAACACCAGCACCCACAATTTAAGGTAAGAAATATTATTATTTCTGTTACATTTGTAGTCTTAAGCTGTAAAAAACAACATAATACATCATAACAATGAACTACAATTACATTTCACTAAAAAAGTTGTTTGGCTTTTTTGGGGCTCTCAGGAACATAACCCTATTTTTCCCATAAGTTCTTCAGTTCATCTAACATGGTTTTACCTAACACGTTGTTTTCAGGAATGTAACTACCGTGTTAAATGATGATCTACTCTATATACAAAGTATTTATAGGTCCCAGCAATGTTTTGGATATGTGGAAGTCTTCTTTCTTTCAACACACCGGCCGTATCCCACCAAGGCAGGGTGGCCCAAAAAGAAAAACGAAAGTTTCTCTTTTAAATTTAGTAATTTATACGGGAGAAGGGGTTACTAGCCCCTTGCTCCCGGCATTTTAGTCGCTTCTTACAACACGCATGGCTTAGGGAGGAAGAATTCTTTTCCACTTCCTCATAGAGATAAGAGGAAATAAACAAGAACAAGAACTAGAAAGAAAATAGAAGAATACCCAGAGGGGTGTGTATATATATGCTTGTACATGTATGTGTAGTGTGACCTAAGTGCAAGTAAGAAGTAGCAAGACATACCTGAAATCTTGCATGTTTATGAGACAGACAAAAGACACCAGCAATCCTACCATCATGTAAAACAATTACAGGTTTTCGTTGTACACTCACTTGGCAGGACGTAGTACCTCCCTGGGCGGTTGCTGTCTACCAGCCTACTACCTATAATGTGGAAGTATATAACAATAATAATAATAATAGTAATAATAATAATAATATGTAATAATGAGTTCCCTTGAAGCATGAAAACAAGCCTCAGTCCACCCTTGACAGTGATGTGATAAAATGAGATAACATTAGATAAGAGCTGACATTTGATGAGCATACGCGAGGGTGCGGTGATAGGACTTGATAAGATAAGATTAGAGGTGTCATCACGTTTACTCATATCTTCAAGCAGAGTATAGCACTTTGTCTGGATTTTTTTGGGTTATCCTAGTAATTTACACTATGTATACTTGTATTTATGTGTACCTGTGAGACAGAGACAGACAAAGATAGAGACAGAGACAGACAAAGATAGAGACAGAGATAAACATAGACACAGACAAACAAACGGAGCCAGGCCGCCAGCAGCTGGCCAGCCAGGTGCCAGCCACAGCCATGCCAGCCAGCCAGCCAGCCAGCCAGCCAGCCAGCCAGCCAGCCCAGCCAGCCAGCCAGCCAGCCAGCCAGCCAGCCAGCAGCCAGCCAGCCAGCCAGCCGCAGCCAGCCAGCCAGCCAGCCAGCCAGCCAGCCAGCCAGCCAGCCAGCCAGCCAGCCAGCCAGCCAGCCAGCCAGCAGCCAGCACAGCCAGCCAGCCAGCCAGCCAGCCAGCCAGCCAGCCAGCCAGCCAGCCAGCCAGCCAGCCAGCCAGCCAGCCAGCCAGCCAGCCAGCCAGCCAGCCAGCCAGCCAGCCAGCCCAGCCAGCCAGCCAGCCAGCCAGCCAGCCAGCCAGCCAGCCAGCCCAGCCAGCCAGCCAGCCAGCCAGCCACCAGCCAGCCAGCCAGCCAGCCAGCCAGCCAGCCAGCCAGCCAGCAGCCAGCCAGCCAGCCAGCCAGCCAGCCAGCCAGCCAGCCAGCCAGCCAGCAGCCAGCCAGCCAGCCAGCCAGCCAGCCAGCCAGCCAGCCAGCCAGCCAGCCAGCCAGCCAGCCAGCCAGCCAGCCAGCCAGCAGCCAGCCAGCCAGCCAGCCAGCCAGCCAGCCAGCCAGCCAGCCAGCCAGCCAGCCAGCCAGCCAGCCAGCCAGCCAGCCAGCCCAGCCAGGCCAGCCAGCCAGCAGCCAGCCAGCCAGCCAAGCCCAGCAGCCAGCCAGCCAGCCAGCCAGCCAGCCAGCCCAGCCAGCCACCCAAAGCCAGCCAGCCAGCCAGCCAGCCAGCCAGCCAGCCAGCCAGCCAGCCAGCCAGCCAGCAGCCAGCCAGCCAGCCAGCCGCAGCCAGCCAGCAGCCAGCCAGCCAGCCAGCCAGCCCAGCCAGCCAGCCAGCCAGCCAGCCAGCCAGCCAGCCAGCCAGCCAGCCACCGCCAGCCACCCCCAGCCAGCCAGCAGCCAGCCAGCCAGCCACCACCAGCAGCCAGCCAGCCAGCCAGCCAGCCAGCCAGCCAGCCAGCCAGCCAGCCAGCCAGCCAGCCAGCCAGCCAGCCAGCCAGCCAGCCAGCCAGCCAGCCAGCCAGCCAGCCAGCCAGCCAGCCAGCCAGCCAGCCAGCCAGCCAGCCAGCCAGCCAGCCAGCCAGCCAGCCAGCCAGCCAGCCAGCCACCCAAAAGCCAGCCCAGCCAGCCAGCCAGCCAGCCAGCCAGCCAGCCAGCCAGCCAGCCAGCCAGCCAGCCAGCCAGCCAGCCCAGCCAGCCGCCAGCCAGCCAGCCAGCCAGCAGCCAGCCACCCAGCACCAGCCAGCCAGACCAGCCAGCCAGCCAGCCAGCAGCCAGCCAGCAGCCAGCCAGCCAGCCAGCCAGCCAGCCAGCCAGCCAGCCGCAGCCAGCCAGCAGCCAGCCAGCCCCAGCCAGCCAGCCAGCCAGCCAGCCAGCCAGCCAGCAGCCAGCCAGCCAGCCAGCCAGCCAGCCAGCCAGC